TTCAAAATGATAAAAATCAAGAAGGATTTCTTTAAGTTTCTAATCTTTTGTAATCCAATGTGCTGTAATTTTAAGAAATAGAATTTGATTTTTAGAAGTTCAACATTTAAGAATAAATGAAATTTTACCCAGTATTTCTTGTAATTGTTTTTTAATATTAATTTTTCTTCATTATATGCTTTCACAATATTATTATGTATAGTTTCAGTAGAACATATTTTTGCTTCAAAATTAAGTCTTTTTATCATTATTTAAAAAAATATATTTTCAACAATAACAAAAGATTGATCATTCATAATTATCCATTTAGTTAAATCATTTAACCAATCTTTTTGTGTAAATGTCTATTATTATAAATTATTAAATTATTAATATTATTATTTAAAATAAATATAATTAAATTAATAAAAATAATATACATACTAAGGAATCTTTTATATTAATATATTTATCCATTAGCCTTTTAACTTTTGAAAATAAATATAAATGTTTCTTTTTAAGATGATTTCTTAATGTTGAAGATGATTCATCTTTAGGAATTTTATAAATTATACTTAAAAAAAATCAAATTAATTTTTATATTTTAATTATTATTATTACTAAAAATTTAAATTTTACTTGCAATGATTACAATGATATTTATTATTTTCTTTATTAAGAGTATAATTACTATGAATTATAGATCTCTGTTTTTTTTATCCTCATAATTAGATCCTTCATTTTGGATATTTTGGTTAGAATTCTCTACATCTTGAATAGTTTCATTATTTAAAAATTCTTTACCATTATCAGAATATGATTCATTTTCCATTTTATTAAAATTTTTTTATTAAATAAAATTATAAAAAATTAAAAGATAAATTAAAGTGCCAGATAACTTTCTATGATATTTATAATGTTGTGATAAAATTAGTAAAGTAATAAAGCAAATGGTAAAAGCTAATAAAGCCAATTAATTAATTAAGTTATAAGCTAAATAGCTAAATATGGTAAAGTTAAATAGTAAAATACCAAGTGAAAGTAAAGTTAAATGATATTTTTAATAAATACAAGCTAATTAGTAAAGTTATCAAAGCCAATTAGCAAATTATATGATAAAATTTGATAGGGCCAAGTAGCAAAAAGCTAAGTAGCTAAACAAATAAAATTATGTTGATAAAATTAATTACAAAGCTAAGTGGCTAAGATATTAAAGTTAAATAGTATATTTATATGGTAAAATTTGATAGGACTAAGTAATAAAAAGTTAAGTAACGAAGCTAGTAAAGCTAGATTGCAAAATTGACTTACAAAGTCAAGTGGCAAAGTTATCAAAGCCAAGTAATAAAATTATATGGCAAAATTTGATAAGTTCAAGTAAGTGGCAAAGCTAGCTAAGATTAATTGTAAAGTCAAAGAGAAAATAGTTAGTATAAATATTCTACTTGAAAAAAATAGTTAAATATTTATTTGACAATTTCACATTTCGCAGTTTTCTGCAGTAATATTTTTATTATTAATAACGATTTTTAATCGTTAATTTGAAATGATTAAATTTATCATTCTAAAAGAATGATAAAAAAATCATTTATTTAGAACAATTAAATTTATTATTCTAAATAAATGATAAGAAAATCATTTATTTGGAATGATTGAAGTTATCGTTCTAAATGAACAATAAGAAAATTATTCAATTGGAATAATTAAATTTATTATTCTAAACGAACAATAAAAATATTATTTGATTAGAATGATTAAATTTATCATTCTAAACGAATGATAAGAAAATCATTTATTTGAAACAATTGAAATTATCATTCCAAATGAACGATAAGAATATCATTCGATTAAAATGATTAAATTATTATTCTAAAAAAATGATAAAAGAATCATTTGATTAGAATGATTTAATTATTATTTTAAAAGAATGATAAAAAATCATTCAATTAAAATAATTAAATTATCATTCTAAATAAATGATAAAAGAATTGTTTATTTGAAATGATTGAATTATTGTTCTAAATGAATGATAAAAGAATCATTTATTTGAAACAATTGAAGTTATCATTCTAAACAAATGATAAGAAAATTATTCAATCGGAATGATTAAATTATTATTCTAAAAAAATGATAAAAAAATCATTCAATTAGAATGACAAAATTATTATTTCAAATAAACGATAAAAAATCATTCATTTAAAATGATTGAAGTTATCGTTTCAAAAGAATAATAAAAGAATTGTTTATTTAAAATAATTAAAATTATCATTCTAAATGAATAATAAGAAATTGTTTAATTGAAATGATAAGAAAATTGTTTGATTAGAACGATTAAATTTATTATTTCAAACGAATGATAAGAAATCATTTATTTAGAATAATTGAAGTTGTTATTCTAAACGAACAATAAGAATATCATTCGATTAGAACGATTAAATTATTGTTTCAAATGAATGATAAGAATATTATTTGATTGGAATGATTAAATTATCATTTTAAACAAATGATAAAAGAATTGTTTATTTGAAATAATTGAATTATTATTTTAAATGAATGATAAAAAAATTATTCATTTGAAACGATTGAAATTATCATTTTAAACGAATGATAAAGAATCATTCTAAATAAATAATAAAGAATCGTTTGATTAAAATGATTAAATTATCATTCTAAAAGAATGATAAAAGGATCATTCAATTAGAATGATCTGAAATTTCAGATTAATTTAAAATTTTTGGTTCAGTTCAGATTAGATTTATAATCCAAAAATTTTCAGATTGAATTTTTTGCAATCTAAAACTAAACCGAAGTTGATCTAAACTGAAAATTTTCAGATTAATCTGAACTGTTTAGAGCTTTAATTTTATCTCATATTATTAATTATATAATTTCATTAAATTTAAAATTTTATTATATAAAAATAAATTTAAGTTTATAATATCAATTTAAAATTTTATATTATTACTTTAATTAATTTAAAAAAAAGTAAAGAAATCTTTGCAATAGAAAAAAAAAAAATAGATAGAAAAATAATAAATAAATTAATGTTAAATCTGAATATATATTGATTTAAAATTATATTTAGTATATAAAAATAAAATTAATTTTTTTAGTAGTTTTTCTTTCTATTACAAAGGTTTTATATGAATATTTTGTAGTAAAAGTAAAAAAATTATCAAAAACATTTTTTTAAATTAATATTAAATCTAAATTTATTTACTAAAAATAATATTTAGCTTATAAAGTAAAATTTTTTTTGATAATTTTCTTATTTTTTATTATAAAATGCCTATATATTTCTTATAAGTATTTGATATTCATCAGCTTAATAATTAAGTCAATGCTAATTAGCTTTATAATTGCTAGAATTTCGTTTAAAATACAAATTGCATTGCAAATATTTGAAAGTTTTTTAAAATAATTTTAAATGAATATCAAAATAATTTTGAATATTAAAATTTATTTTTAATTATCAGATTGATTTGAATATCAAAAATTAAATATCTAATATTAAATATTTTTCACATTTTTGTTCTTTTATGTTTTTTGATTTTTTTGATTAGATAAACTTTAGTTTATTATTTTATTTTTTTAAAAATAAATAATTAATATTTAAAATAAAAGTTGATATCTGAAATGAATTTTGATTTTGAAATTAGTTTTAATATTTTGAATATTAATTATGTATTTTCGAATATTTGAATCTTATTTATTTACAAACAAATATTTGAATATTATATTTTCAAATGAAAACCCTAATAATTGCATAAAAGTCTAGATAAAGTAAATATTAATATAAATTTTTTTAATTAAGATTATTCTAAATACTTTAATGTAAATAAAAAGAAAATTCCTTTTGAGTTAATATTAAATCTAAATTTATTTTATTAAAAATGTAAATCTCAAAACATTTTTTATTGAGTAGAATTATCAAACTCAACTTTTCTATCTGTATCTAATCTTCTATTAAAAATATATTAATTTTTATAAAGTAAATTAAAAGAGAATTTATAGTAAATAAATAGGTAAATTTATTTATAAAATCTTACAATCTAAAAATAAAATATTATTATTTTAAATTATATATAAATTTGTTAAATTATTTTTATTTTATTTTGACTTTGAAAATTATATTATAAATATATATAAAAAAAATTTATATATATTATTCAAAAAAAATAAATAATAAATTTTTATTAAATACATTTAATATATTTAAAATTAAAAATAAAAGGCTTTAGATTTTTTTTAATAATATTTTTTGGATTTATACTTTTAAGTTTTTTTTATATTTTAAAAAAAGGAAATAAAACCTAAAATAAAAGTTTATATATTAAAATATATATAAATACTTAAATATAAATATATAAACCTTTTTTTCTTTTATATTTTTAGAAAAAATGAATTTATTTTTAATAAATCAATATTGCTATTCCTAATTTAACTAAAACTAATTTAATCAGCCTCAATTTAACTTCAATTTAAAAAATTTCAACTTAAAATTTTATTATAAATTTTTTAAAAATAATTTATTTATTTTAAAATTTAAAATCACATTTTTTGTAAACAGATAACCTCTAATCTTAATTTTTACTAGCATATATTTTGTAAAAATCTTATTATTGAATCTTTTTTTTTGTGTTGTTAAACCTTAAGGTTTTAAAAAGAAGATTCTATAACTTTATTTTATTTTTAGATATACAATAAATATTTAAATCTTGATCGAATGATCCGAGTTATATTTATATTTCTCTCCAAAAAATATTCATTTAAAATTAGCTTTTCAAATGATTAATCTTACCCTATAAATACTGGGTAAATGGTTACGAAAACTGGGGTAAAAGTGCAAATCCAAAGCTCATTGGTTGGAAAAATTTACTGTTAACCATACATGGTCAAAAAATATTCTCAAATCATTATTTAATGAGTAAACTTCACTCATTTAAATTAAATTTCGTGATCTTCTTTTCGTGGACAACTTTTGTCTTGGCCACTGATCTTGAAATTTGCCAAATGTTATAATGCCCGTTCTTGATTTGAAACTATACACCACCATCTCTGTATGTGTCGCCCTTGTGGCTTTTATTTATTCTTGCAATATCTTTACTTTTCAAAAATGGTTCTCCTTCACGCACTTACCGACACCAGTTGACAACTTGCCTAATCAAGCTACACTTAGTTCTAATGGGTTCGATAGAATTGCCGAGAAAGGTCCTGGTATTACTACTTCAATATTTCAAAATATGTTATCAGAGAAATATTTAGCCCCAAGAAAACCTTTTGGTTTAATGGGGCCTTTTTTAACTTCGCTTGTAAATTTTTTACAAAAAGAAAAGTTTTGTGTTATGGTATGCGTTTTATATTTAAATCATTAGATTTTACTTTTCTTTAAAAATAGCATTCAATGAGATGTCTTGAATGCAAATTCTTTAGTATTGATGTATAGTCAATCCCATCATGAATAAATTATTCATGTTTATAGATTTTCATCAATATGGCTTATTGTTTTGTATTTCTCCTCGGAAGGTTGACATTGAAATTCTTTTTTGGAGAGTTAAGAGTAATCGAAAGTCAGGTATTTTTGAATAATTTTTTATTACATAAATTTCTTTGACTACTTTATATTTAAATTTAATTTATCACCTTTAGCATATGTATGATAGACTACTCAACTTTCTTTTATTCAAAGTGGTCTTTGTTGGAGCAATTTTAGAGCCAAAATGGGAAGAGTTACTTATTTGGACAACTTGGTTTACAATTCTTGGATTTTTAAGAATTTTTAGTATGCTTTGTCGGGATAGATTCGAATATGTAAGTCCTAATTTCTTTATTGATTTCAACACTTCTGAAATTTCTAATGAATTTTTTTAAAATTCCTTTCTTTTTTAGCTTACGTTTACTCCAAACACTCCAGTTCAGGCTCATTTACGAATATTAACACTATTAATACTTATTTTATTATCAGACATTTTCTGGTTTATAATGTGTATATCGGTATTCCGGTCAATGTTGTTGCTTTTGACATTTGAGGTTACTTAACAATTTTTTTATTGTACGAGTTTATGATTGGACTATAACATTATATTTAATATTTCGCAACTTTAAAAAATAGTGCTTTACATTATTTTTAGATACCGTACAAACATTGGTTAAATATATAATTCACCTTAGGGATATTACAAGACAAAGTGTTTGGGAGTCTAGAGGAATTCTTTTATATTACACCGAATTTGTTACAGACACTTTGATACTAGTTGCCACTCTTGCACATTATTTACACATCATGGTGAGAAATTATGTTTTTGTTATTTTTGGAAAGAATAAAGAATAACAATATCCAAAATTTAACACCTTTATTCAAATTAGCTTCTTCATGGTATTTCTTTTACCTTGATTGATGCAGTTTTATTTTTAAATATGAGGAGCGTTTTCAATAATCTTAGGAAAAAAATAGCTGCATATTACAGTTACAGGCAGGCTATATTCAATATGCAAACACAGTAAGAAATTTTAAGAGATTTAAACTTTTTGAAATACGTTAGATGAGGCAGTTTATGTTTAGATAAGGATTGTTATATAGTTTCATTCTAAAAAATTTATGTTTCAATTTCTGTAGATATCCAAACGCCACCGATATTGAGTTGAATGAATATAATGATGACTGTGCAATATGTCGGGATTCTATGGATTCTGCTAAAAAATTACCATGTGGCCATATGTTTCATTTGTATGTGAACTTTTCTGATTTAGTTATGCGTTGCTTTATACAATTTTAAGTTGCTTGCTAATTGGAATATTAAATATTAAAAAGGACTTGCTTGCGTTCTTGGCTAGAACATCATGGTTCTTGTCCAACTTGTAGACGATCTTTGTTGAAAGGAGACTCTCCTATACGACAAAGGTTATTAGAACATTTACATATGGAAGTTCCATTCCTTTGAGAAAGTCGTTTTTTTGCAGAAATTTCAACAATGATTAGATATACAGAATTTGATATTCTGAAATATTGATACTCATTTGTAAACTCTATTTATTTGGCATACTGGTTATGTGAACAATTTAATTAATTTTCAAGATCATTAGCAAAATTATAAACTAACAACATTAATAGTTTAGAAATAAGAAACTTGCAAAATCAGAGTAATTTTTTTTTTTTACTGGAGTTTATTTTATCAAAAAATTGCACATCTTTATGTAATTATAACATTATGCTCATTCAAAAGTTGAGTAAATGTTATAAAAAAAAAAAATAAGTTGGATTATTTTTCTTTATATTTTTTTATTGTTGTATCATATTTTTAATTTATTATATTGCATAAACTCATTGTAAATAACATTTTTTATTATTTTGTTTTGCAAGAATTTTATATAATTATTAAATTTTAAAAAAATTTTATTTAATTAAAATTGCAAAGTTAAAATTTATTATATAATTAATTAATTAATCTTTAATAATATTAAATTATTTTTAAATAAAAAAATAATTTTATTAAGATTAAAATATTTTTATAATATTAAGAAAAAAAAATGTTATAAAAAAAGGATTAATTTAATATTTTATATATTTGAAAATTTGTATTTTTTGTATTTTTTGTAATAAATTTCAAATTTTTGAATTATATAAAAATGAACAAAAATCAGTTTTTTTTTTATCTGAATTTAATATAAAATCTAAAAAATCATTTTTAAATAGCTAATTTTTTTTAAATTATTTATTTATATAAAAAAGATTAATATTTTTAAATGCAAATATAATTAAATAAAATTAAATCAATTATTAAGATAACAAAAATATTATAAATTTATATATATCATAACATTATTTTTTAATATTAAATAAAAAGATTTCTTAACTAAATCTATACCTATTTATTATATATAAAAATAAATTTTTTAAATGTTAATTTATTTCTTTTTTCTAATATTATTTTTACATTAAATCTCAATATAATCAAATATTATAAAATTAAAATATATTATATAAATATAAATAATTGATTATTTTATATTGTTAGTTATCTTATTGTATACAAACAATCAGAAAAATTTATTTAATAGTAATTTTTAATATAAATCATAAAAATTAAAATTCTTTAAATAATTATAATTATTAAAATAATATTCTGTAAAAATTTATATATATATAAAATTTTTTTAAACTTTATGTTACATTTTATTTATATTTATAAAAATTTTTTAACATTTTTTTTAAATAAAATAATATATAAAATTTATTAATTATTAATTTACAAAAATAATAAAAAAAAATTTATATTTTATTTTACTAAAAATTTTAATAAAAAAAATTATAAAATTTAATAAAAAAAAAATATTTTTTAAACTATAAGAATTTTTATTTAAATTTAATTACAATTTTAATTAATTATTATTATAATTACTTTAATTTTAATTTAAATGTTAGATAATAAAAACTATTAAAAAGTCCAGAATAATAAATATAAAATGATCACAAGTTATAATATAATGATTTAATTGGTCAGTAAAAGATATACAATTATATGTATAATAGATAATGTAATAAATAAAATTATATTAACTCAAATAAGTAGGTGAATAGACTAAAATAAATTTATTAAGTTGTATAATATTTAATAGTTTTTTATTTATATTTAAACTAATTATTAACTTTCTATACAATTATCCTTTATATAATCACATTGTCTTTAAGTATACTATATTTTAATTCTGATTTTTTAAATATAAAATATCCTTTATAATTACATATTAATTATATTACTATTACACTAATTATTAGATTAATATATTAATTAATAAGTAATTTTCTTTATATAATCACATTATCACATAATAAATTGGTTAATAATATTTAATTATTATAATAAATTATATAAAATTATTTTATTCTAAGATAAACTTTATTAAAAAATTTAAAAATTTAAGATTTAAACATTTAAATAAAACTAAAGATGATCAATAATCTTATTTAATTTAAACTGATATATTATTAATAATAAAATTTAAAATTGATTAAGATTAATTAATTATTTTTTTTTATATTTAAATTTATTAAAATAATTTAATTTACTAAAATATTTATTTATTTATTAATATTTATAATATAAATATAAAATTATTCTTATAAATTTAATTTTACAAATATTCTAAGATTTTAAATATATATTTATAATATAATATAATATATTATATCTATATATTTATAGTAACAAGTAAAGAAATATAACTAGATAATATAAAATTTTATTAATCATTTATTTATATAATCATATACTATAATCATAAAAATATTTTATTTGAAAGCTTTAAATTAAAACTATATATATATATAAAATTTATACTATTTTAAATAGAAAAATAAAAAGTTTATTTAATTAAAAAAATCAATTTTTATATTTTTATAATTTTTAATAATTCTAATTTTTTTTATTATATACACTAAACTACATTAAATTACCGGATTTTTTATATATATTAAAATTATATATAAATTACAATTTTAGTTATCAATTAAATATAATTTTTGTGTAATAAATAACCAACAATAAAAATTATATCAAAATAATTCGCAGATTTTATATTTATTATAAAATAAAATTTATATTTTAATAGACTAATATTTAGTGTGTCTACCTTTAGCCTTAATTACTGCATTAACACGATTAGATAAGTTTAAAATTAAGTGATGTACTATCTCTATACTAATTTTTCTCTATTCCTCTTGAACTATATTTATTAATCCTTGTTTACATTTAGGTAAAGGCTTTCTTTTTTTAACCTGTTGATCTAAATGATTCTATAGGTTCTCAATCAGGTTAAGATCAAAGCTTTATGCTACCCAATCTAAGATTGAAATATTATATGTTTTTATTCACCAAATGCTATAATTTGATGTATAACATGAAGCTCTGTTTTGCTAAAAAATAGAGTTAGGATAGTTACTAACCTATGATATGAAGTGGTTAACATGAATATTGATATATTCATCAGAATCCATACTTTCTTCTACTATAACTAAAGGTCTAACCCTATGTCAACCAAAACAACTTCAAAATATCACTGAACCACCACCAAATTTAACTGTAAATAATATACAATTTTTATTATAAGCTTCTCCAGAACTTCTCCAAGCTCTTATTTTTCCATTTGATTCAAAAAGAGCAAATTTGGACTCATCAGACCATATTATCTTTTTCTATTTATCACCCTAATTTTATTTCTCTCTACTCTATTTTAACCTATCCTTTTGCTATTTTTGGGTTAAAATGAGTTTTTTACAAGTGACATAACTACTAAGGCCTTCATCATAAAGGTATTTTCTAATAATATTATTATACAATGTAGTATCAAGACTAGAGTTTAATCTGCTTGTTATATCACTAAGAGGAGTAAACTGATTATTTCAAACGATACATTGTAAGGTCCATTTATCATATTGATTAAGTATTTTAGAACAATCAGAACGCTTCTCAGGTATTGCAAAACCTGTTTCTTTGTATCTTTTTATAGTATCATTGATAGTGCTAGTGAGAATACCAAGCTGAGTTGAAATAACTGTTTGCTTAATACCACTTAGATATATACTGATAATTCTTTCACATTGAGCTTTAGAAAGCTTATTTCTATACATTTCTATTTTGAAGAAAATAAAGAATATGTATATATTATTTTTTTTATTATTTTTATGTACATTAGAGAGAAATCGCAAATTTATTACAAATGTGATAAATCACGTGATTATAAATCTGATAATTTAATGTAGGTTAGTGTATATACTAGTTATTAATTTATTGTTTTATAACAAAATAGATCTTGTAATATTATATAAATTTTAAAAAAATGAAATTAGATCTTTTAATAAAAATTGGTTTTAATAGCTTTTGTTGTAAAACAATAAAAGTAAATCATATGATATTACACAAATTCCTAAAATAGAATCTTATATAATTGATTTTGAAACTCAAAATTAAATTTTACTAAAAAATTCTTTTTAGAAATTTATATAATGTTATACAATTTAATCATTTATTTATATATATATATTCTAAATGTCATTATTATATAAGTATTTTTTTATTATATAAGATTTTTAAAAATTTTTAAAAAATTTAAAATTATATTATTAAATTAAATTTAATTTATTAATAACAAAGAAATTACAGTTCAAAATATTACATGAGATCTGCTGATTAATTATAATTTTACATTAAATGATATCATTGTTATATCAAATAGTGATCAATAATAATTTTTATTTCGCCTATTTTTTTTATTTCCTTTGTAGTTTATGTATAGTCAATTTATTTTGTTTTCTCTATTTCATCTATAATCCTTTTAATGTTTGTAATTTATCTTCTTTCTTTTTATTATTTTTATAATTTATATAATTTATATTATTTTATTTATTTAAGTATATTGTATGCCTCTGAAATTAAGCATCTTTTTTTTATTATAGAGATGCTTAATGTTAGGTACTAATAAAATTGCTAAATTTTCAATCTTAGAAGCTATATAAAAATAATAAATGCTTTATATTTATAACACATTTCATTTAGAAGTTATATAAAAGAATCCATTAAAATAAAGTTTTGTGAAAGTGAATATAATTTAGTAGTAATTTTAGATATGTTAGTAGTGAATGATAATGGTAACAGTAATGATAATAATAGCAGTGATAGTGATAGCGATTATTAATAATGATGAAAGAAATATTAATGGTAATAATTCTTTTAAAAAAAAAGACATTGAATTTTATAAAATTTTTAATAAATCAGATTTGTTTTAACATTTATTTTATTTTTGGATGCTAAAAGTATGATAGTGCTTATTTCAGATACTAAAAAAATAAGATAGTACTTATTTTCAAAGAGTGCCTATTTTTGGAGAAATATGGTATATTATTGAAATATATATTTATATTTAATTAATTTATAGTATAGTAGTT